GTCGCGCCGACGTGATGCAATATACATGCTAATACGATAGCTTGAACCAGTTCATGAGGTGGATACCGGTGGAAAATGCCGCCGCAGAGATTCTCTCTTTGGCCCTTTGACACGACTACGAAAGATACCGGTGACCGGCCACTCGCCCATGAATTTCAAGCGACTTTCTTCTTTCATTTTACTGATTTAAGAAAGTTAGGAAGAGAGAGTCAGTTTCTATGAAAATTTTTCGTTAATACTAATGCAATTAGGTGGTATAACTAACATAATGTTGTATAGCAAGAATATTGTAGATCAAGCAATATTTTACATTGTAGACAGTATTAATGCACTTTTTTTGCTAAAAAGAGATAGAAAAATAATGAGAAATTTTGTAAATGTTAGTTTCATGTTAGTATAGGCACAATTTATGATATTACGTAAATCCAAAATATTTCGACTTGCAAATATTATAAAAATAGATTGTTGATTTCATGTTATATCTGCAACTATCAAAATGTCGTCCAATTTTCTCAACATGTTGCCTTCGCAGCATTCAAAAAGGTAGAAAAGGTAGATACTTTTCCTGGTTTCAGTTTTAATACCGAGAAACTTTGTTTTCAATGGCGATAGTAAAAGGCTTTATTGTTTTAGGGGATTTCGTGGGTTACAATATTCCCTGCAGTCAGAAACACAGAAAGCTGAGTTTCTACGGTTATGTTTACGATGCGAGTAAAATTTCTATGTGAGTTGGAAGAGCGAAAGCGAACTGTTCTCTGACTGTAATTAAATTGCCAGTAAACAAGTATGTTTATTACAAGTTCTGAAAAAAAGAATATTGTAAAATTTAATAAAATTGAATAAAAATGTAAAGAATTTATAATGATAACATTAATACATGTATAAAGTGATTTTCGCAAAATTAATAAATTCATTTATATTAATTTTTACGGATTACAATATGTATTATATTTATAATGTATAAAAGATTTTGATCAAATTTATAATTTTTTAATTATACTTAAATTGCTTTTACAATATTTTTTCAAGTCAATAAAAACATTATATTAATGTGCCAAATGAGTTATTAAAAATAATATTAACTTAATATTTTGTCAATCTGGTTAAATTTGTTCTACAAATTGGTTCTACATAAAGAAATACTGTATTCCAAAATTTATATCGTTAACATTAATGTAATAACTTAAACAACGTTGATAGAATTGACAGTTAACTTCTTTAATCTTGTTATATATTTACATTAAATTTCTCTCCCTACTCTCCTTATCTCTCCCTCTCTCTCTCCCTCCTCTCTCTCTCTCTCTCTCTCTCTCTCTCTCTCTCTCTCTCCTTCTTCATTCATTAAACATTTTATATTTTAATATGCATTTACGTGGTGGCGAAGGATTGCAAATTACTTTCGCTGAAGGCGTTTCTTGTGCAACAAACTGTTTGCGAGGATTAACTTGGCAATCCTTTAAATGCAGAGAGAATACCGACATAGAAAGATTCGAAAGTGCATGAACTAAATAAATCGGACGACGTCCTTAGCACGCCTTTATCCGCGTGAGCCGTTGAGATTTATTAAACCTGCATATAGTTCCGCATCTTCTACCTTGAGCTTAAGCTTCGATACGGTTTATTTTATTCCAGCAAGTTTCCTGAAATTCAAGCTAAACAAATGAACTTTACCGCTGCTCAAGAAAAACAAACGTTTTCCCTTATAAATGCTGGTTGAATATTAGATTAAGCTAATACAATGTTTGCCTTTTGTATTTTGACAAAGGTTGTAATC